TCAAAGACTTATTTTAGATCATGTAAAAAGGAGAATAATAGTTCCCCTTTAAACAGCATTTCAAATTAAAATTGTTGGACAAAATTATCGTAAGCAATATTATGCAAATTGTATTTTGTGGCCCTTTGCATTAAACGTGGCCCCTCTGAACTTGATTACCCCTGAGCATAAGGATGACTGAACAGCTTGCCATTGCAAAGAAAAAGGGAAAGTGACAAGAGTTTGCAAAAACATTTTGGGTGCAACAGGGCCAATCAGAGTTCACCGTCTCACAGGAGACTGCCGTAAAAAGAGCTGTGAAACCTGCAAGAGTCTTACTGTTGTGAGAATGATGAAGCGCTCTGGGAATTGTACTGAGATTTGAAATCCCATTTAAAACTTTCAGTATTCAAATGAGGAAATCCTTCAGCTGAAAACCCTTCAGGAAAAATGAAATATCATAATTATGTGCTAAAGGGAAAGTTCACCGCAAAATGAAAACCCTGCCGTAAGAAATTTGTTCATCTTTGAGACGCAAATGAAGATCTCGCATGTTGCATAATGATTATTAACCTCTCCAATAAAATATCTTAGCATAATAATATTCAAATGCTTAGTTCTATCCCCACAGCGGTTTTGTAACATATATTGCAGTGCAAAGCAAAGATAATTGAGTAATTATCAAATAGACACTGTTTAAAAGATTTCTGGTATTTTAGAGGATTGAGAAGACCACACCACCAATGAACAGAGATAGTAAAGCTTCTGGAAATAAAGATTTCTAAGAGAGCTAGGACTTACAATGGTAATATTTATCTTAAGTTTGACAGTAGCTCAGACACGTAGGATACAAAGCAGCTTTTCCAGTAGCTAGTTCATTTTTTCTAGCAAGTCGTGAGTAGCTTGACAACAGCTACTGTAAATACAGTACATTTAGTCCTTCAAGATTACATACAATAGGTTATTGCAGCTATTGATTGCTAAATCACACATTGTACACTCTCAGAAATCAAAGTACAGCTAAATTGCTTATCACTGCGTATCTCACATATTTAGCATGCTGTTAGGACACAGGGCTATAATGTAACCTGCTCACCTAATGTTTATGCTTGTAATATTTATATTATTTGCAAATTAATAACCTCATGTGGACTTCTGAACCTGCATCTTATTTTGGAGTCTGCTACTGTCCACCGGAGATCACATTTGGGGCACGGACGCATGCTTTGACAGCCTTCATGACTGAAATACACTGTTTTCCACCAAGGAAACCCAGGGTGCTGAAATATAATTGGCTAAACTGGCATCAGGCGGGTTAAACGGACCAAAACAAAGATGTAACTCACACTTTCAAAGCAGAATATCTTGACTTCAGCATTGTTTTTCAGATAAACAGGAATGTTCACTTAGCATGTTTCTTAAATATCTGCAAACATATTTTGTTTATGCTTTAGAACAGTCAATCACTGACATACAGCACCGTTAAGTTTTTCAGTACCACTAAGAATTCAGACACAGCTGAGTTTGATCAAGGTTGAAGCTAAACTCTAAAGCTAAAGTTGAGAACCCCTGCCTTACAGGGTTAAAATCCAAGTGTCTGAATGTGAATACATGTTTAGATTATGCATCCCAGCTAATTAAGGATGAGAAACGAATTTCTGCTTTCCACCTGCTGCAATCACAACCTTTGAGTTTCCAAGAGGTTATTTATAGATTTCACTTCTCCATCTGACAATCCAGCAAAATCACTCCTATTTCAATGGCAGATCCCACATGAAAGAAAAAAACAGTATACTATAGGATTCACAGTAAAATTGCAGTTAAATTAGAAAAAAAAATGGTAGTTATTATACAATAAAAATGTCACATCCTTCAGTGACCACCTGAGGGTGCTGTAGTGCATCAGGACTTAGATAGCACTACAGCGTCCCAGAAGGACTACAATTCCATACATACCACGCGCATACACTGGAACACTTACACTGACCCGTCATCTCATCTGTTCTGTGTTACCGTTGATTATCTGGACTATCTATACAACCATTCCACCTCTGTTTGTCATCGCGTCGTTTCTCATCCTTGTCTTTCCTGCCGCAGTGTTTCTAGTAAGTCTAGTATTCGAGTTTTGATTCCGGAGCCCTGTCTCTGTTTTATGTTTCTTGTTTTGTTGTTTATTTGTACTTTGAGCACCTTGTTTCTCTGTTGATGCGCACTGTAAATAAACCGCACTTGGATCTGCACCTTTTTGTTTCCGTTTCAATCCGTAACGTGACAAAATTGTTGCATACTATTGTATATTAAAGTATTTACTGCGTCATACTGCAACATACTATACTATTAACTAATGAACTAATAGATGCTAGCGATGATAGATTATGTTACTTCCAGTGTTGGGAAGTGACGTCACTACAAGTTAGTGTTTTCAGAGGTAGTGCAATTTTCAGATCGCCATATCGTCCACGTTTGTCACAAATTACATGAGATCAGATGGACGGAGGAGCTTGGCCAGACATGCTGCAGACTGAACCAATCGTGTGGATCAAGCACACCGTTGTTAATATTAGGAAGAAAATAAAAACATTTATGCTTTTTTGGAGTCAAACACTTTGGACATCGCTTGAACAAAACTTAAGACCGCACAAAAACACAATTAACACTTTTTAATATATTTTAAGATGCTTAATGCTCTCATAATTGATCTATCAACTTTTAATACTGTTTAAGACCCCGCGGATACCTTGTGCATGAAAAAAAACTGTTTACTGGGTCAGTATAACTTAAGTATTCCAGCCTATATAATGTTAATGAAAAGCATATAATGCATAAGGGAATCTGATAATGACAAATGTCTGATTTACCAGTAAAAAAAAAAGGTCTAATATTGTTGCCAATGACGGATTGCAAGCATATATCTTAAACAGAATCATTTAACTTCAGAATTATGAATAGTTGCATTCTATTGTCATCCTTTTACTGAGTTATCAACCTGGACATATTTAAAGTCTGTTCAAGTCCACCACTCAAAGTCTATACAAAATGTAGCATTTTAACCAACAGTAGATCTCTACACAGAGGCCTAATATTATTATTGTTGGCTTGAGAAAGCCAACATACTGTTTTACTACTCTGTCCTTGAAAACAAACGTATCTCCTCCTAGGCCGTTCATGCCACAAGGCCCAAATGTGGTCAAAATGTGCCTTCTACATTCAAGATTGTTGCTATATCTCCTCATGCCAATAAGACTTATTGTTTTTTTAATAGAAAATGTTAAATATTAAATTTTTATAATCCGAGCATATTAAAAAATTATACAAGCCCCAAATTTGGCCAAAAGCTGTATTTAGATGCGTTAGATTTTGTTGCTATATCTTTAAGGTTGATCAGACTTTTAGTTTTCCAATAAATAATGTTTAAGCATTATTTTTCTCAAAATATGGCAAGCCATTTTTGACTTAAACTCCATATTTTTACTGATATTTTTGCATGTATCACTTTCACACTTGTTAAGCATTGTATTTTCAAAAAAATACGGCAAGCCATTTTTACATAATGTTCATTACCTTAGTCCCTTTATTAATCAGGGGTCGCCACAACGGAATGAACCGCCAACTTATCCAGCATTTGTTTTACACAGCGAATGCCCTTCCAGCCCCAACCCAACACCAGGAATACATAATGTTCAAGTGCAGTTTTTGACACTCATAAAGACTGTCATAGAAACATTGGGGTTGATTAAGATCACTCATATTGCAAGAAGCTTTGATGTATCATCACTAACCTGTCAAATGTCCCCATAACAATAAAACAGTATAACCTAGCAACCATTTAAAAATAGCAATATCTCTACATCAGAACATCGTAGGGACCTGGGCATTGGCTTGTTTGACTCATGCTAGCAAATGGGACTTCCTGTGTACTATGCATGGTAACAATGATAATGGAAGCCAAGTGCTAATAACGATTAGCTACATGCTATGAATGATTATCTAAATGCAATATCATATGCTAGAAATGCCTACTAAGTATTAGCATTTGATCAAACATGTACACGAGCATTGCCCTTTAGCAACTGCTTAGCAACCACCTAACAATGCCATAATTGTTATAGCAACTTCCTAGCAACCACTTCGCAACCGCCACCGTGCTTCCTTGCAACTGCTTTTCCCAGTTCTAGCGCAGTCACGTTGGCTTTCTCAAGCCAACATCAAAGTTTTTCAATAAACTTTAGGTTCTAGTTATTGTTGTTATGCCATATGTTTGAGAATAACAACCTACTGACACTAACTTTTATTTTACATCTACAGAATTGTGAGAAAATTGTGATCTTGATAAGCAAAAAATAAAATTGTGATTCTCATTTTAGCCAGAATTGTCTTATTTGTTTTGGCTAGAATAAAAGCAGTTTTTACTTTATGAACAATTTTAAGGTCAATATTATTAGCCCCTTTAAGCTATTTTTTTTTTCGATAATCTACAGAACAAACCATCATTATACAATAACTTGCATAATTACCCTAACCTGCCTAGTTAACTTAATCAACCTAGTTGAGCCTTTAAAAGTCTCTTTAAGCTGTATAGAAGTGTCTTGAAGAATATCTAGTCAAATATTATTTACTGTCATCATGGCAAAGATAAAATAAATCAGTTATTAGAAATGAGTTATTAAAACTATTATGTTTAGAAATGTGTTGAAGAAATCTGTCCGTTAAACAGAAATTTGGGGAAAAGTAAACAGGGGAGATATATATATATATATATATATATATATATATATATATATATATATATATATATATATATATATATATATATCATTTTATTTTATTTTTTCCATATGGGATGGAAGTTTAGAGGTTTTCCTCTTGCTCCTCTTGCTGCATCGCTGACCTTTCCAGACACGGCATGCCGCTGCATAGATATTGGATTTAACATCCTCTCACCTAAATGAAAAATGCTTGCAAAACCAACATTGGGAGCGGCGCGTGGCAAAACCCTACAGCATCACGGCGGATTACCGTACCTTAATTTGTCGGTTCCAGCTTTGCGTCGAGAGATTCGAGCCATGAACAGAGGGAGGGTGACGGCATCCAGCCAGCGTTTCTCATACTTTGGTTCATTAGCCGAAGGTGAGGAGGGCGACGACGGGGCCTAGATGGAATAAATGAGAGGGAGAGAGTGAGAGGACGGGGCAGAAACAGCTCGTTTTAGTGCCATCCGCTGCCCTTTGATCGCGCTGCCAGCGGCCTCATAACAACCGTGTCGCCAGATTCAAAAGCATCGGCTGACAGATAATAACTGCGGCTCAACGCGATCCTGCAGTATTTTACAAATGAATGAGGATTACAGTGGCCTTACATAAATGCATGACATTTTCTATGCATATTCACACACACACAAACACAAGCAAACACATATACATTTGCACATGTGCGCACACACAGGAAAAATATGATGAAAGTGTAAAGCAGCTGCTTACTATATTTAGTCTACAAGCTCTTCTGGAAAACACAGCAAAAACTGACACGCTTTTAATTTATTTTTTGCATTTTCCATGCAAATATTTTTATTCAATTAAGATGCATAGAATTGAGAGGCAAAATTGCACCTGCTGATGCAGTAAAAATTGCTTTACTAATTGTACAGTAAAACACTAGTCAACAATCACAATGATAATACAGTATAAAAGTTTGTATTGTATGCTAAAGAGCAGTTGGACAGGTGTACCTAATAAAGTGGCCGGTGTGTGAAGATATGCTCAAGATGATCTGCTGCAGTGCAAAGCGAGCATCAGAATGGGGAAGAAAGGGGATTTAAGTAACTTTGAACATGGCATGGTTGTTAGTGCCAGACGGGCTGGTCTGAGTATTTCAGAAACTGCTGATCTACTGGGATTTTCACGCACAACCACCTCCAGGGTTTACAGAGAATGGTCAGAAAAAGAGGAAATATCCATTGAGCGGCAGTTCTGTGGACGCAAATGCCTTGTTGATGCCAGAGGTCAGAGGAGAATGGCCAGACTGGTTCCAGCTGATAGAAAGGCAACAGTAACTCAAGTAACCACTCGTTGCAACTGAGATCTGCAGAAGAGCATCTCTGAACACACAACACGTTCAAACTTGAGGCAGATGGGCTACAGCAGCAGAAGACCACACCGGGTGCCGCTCCTGTCAGCTAAGAACAGGAAACTGAGGCTACAATTCACACAGACTCACCAAAACTGGACAATAGAAGATAGGAGAAACGTTGCACAAAATCATATGCACACAAAAAATTGGGTTATTTTATTGTCTTGTGTATTTTTTTAAAATCTCTATATTTTAAGTTATTGAGTAAAATTGAAAAAGAGTTACAAAATAGTATTATGTTATAAAATAATAAATTATTAGAGTTTCGGTTTTGTTTTTCAGGCTACGTGAATCACGAAATTCCTTTTCAATGTGTTCCTTGTTTCCATCAGCCTGTGATAATGCACATTGTGCAGTACTGCATAAGAAACACGTGATGGAATTACCAAATTTTGAATAAAACTTCTTTAAATTCACAAATAAAGTTTTTTAAAAATCACTACACATGGTTTTGGACGTGCAAAAAGAGTTGTGTGATGGACATTGTCTGAATAAACTCCAACACAGTAAGTATTACACCAATCAGCAGTCTCCATTATGACTGCATTGTTTGCTATTGTTTGCTAGGTTACCAATACTAAAGTCAGCAGCTTTAACAATCTGATGAAAACGCACCCAATTTACTTTTATGATTTGTTTTTCTTTTTTTTTTTCAACTTTTGCTTAACTTCAAGATAGAAACACGTCTAATGAAGACCATATACTGGGATTATGCAGATGTATTGAGCTAGATTAAAGACCTGTCTGTTTAATAAAGCATACACTCAGTATATCACTTAGCGGTATGATGATGATAAATGTGCTCCACACAGGTTTTTGCGTCTTGTTTATTTACTCTATAAACAGCAGCTACGCTATTTATTCTCTTTATTCTCTATTTCCACTTGGGGATACTCATCCCAAGGGCCTTAGACTATGCAGCGCCATTGATTCGATCCAAGACCAGCGACAAGATGACCCCAAGGTTTCCATAATCCTGGACCAGGCCGTATCCTTGCAGCTGCTGTGGTGGTCATGAAGGAGTGAAGAGCATGAGACTGATTCCTGTGACGCTCCAGGGACAGACGAGTCTTCACTGAGGTCCAGCATTCTCCCGTCTCTGGCGCCTTGACTGCAGCTCTGCACAAGACCTTTGGCCAGTGGAGAAATGGTCGTGAAAACTGAGCCTGGTTTCTCTCGAGGTTTTTTAATTCTTCACTTTCGCCTATTGGTGAAGTTTTTTCCTCGCCGCTGTCGCCACTGGCTTGCATAGTTCGGGATCTGTAGAGATGCGCATCGATAGATTTGCTCTTCAGTGTTTGGACTCTCAGTAGTGATTATTAAACCACACTGAACTGAGCTGAACTGAACTTAAACACTGAAAACTGAACTACCCTTTCAATTTACTATGATCTTCTATGTGAAGCTGCTTTGACACAATCTACATTGTAAAAGCGCTATACAAATAAAGCTGAATTGAATTGATCTGTTGTGGGTTTGTGGAGATAATTATTCTAGAATTAATGACGACTCATTTCAAGGCAAGGCAAGGCAAGGCAAGTTTATTTATATAGCACATTTCATACACAATGGCAATTCAAAGTGCTTTACATAAACAAGAATAAAAGAAACAAGTAAAATAAAAATAAAAACAAATAATTAAAATGCGTAAAAACAAAACAAAACATAAAAACATGTAAAATGTGATATGAAAGAATGAAGAAGAAGAGAAAAACATGATAGTGCAATCTGTCGGACGTAGCACAGTGCTCTTTCAGTAAAGGCACAGCTAAACAGATGTGTTTTCAGTCTTGATTTGAATGTGCCTAATGTTGGAGCACATCTGATCATTTCTGGAAGCTGATTCCAGCAGCGAGGGGCATAGTGGCTAAAAGCCGATTCACCCTGCTTTGACTGAACTCTTGGAACTTCTAGTTTATATGATCCTAATGATCTGAGTGATCTGTTAGGTTTGTATTCAGTGAGCATATCTGTAATGTATTGAGCTCCTAGGCCATTTAGTGATTTATAGACCAGTAATAATACTTTAAAATCTATTCTGAATGTAACTGGCAGCCAGTGTAGAGACCTGAGGACAGGTGTGATGTGCTCTGATTTTCTGCTTCTGGTCAGAATTCTGGCTGCAGCGTTCTGGATGAGCTGCAACTGTCTGACTGTCTTTTTAGGAAGACCAGTGAGGAGTCCATTACAGTAATCCACCCTGCTGCTGATAAAAGCATGAACAAGTTTCTCCAAGTCTTCACTGGAAACAAAGCATCTAATTCTTGCTATGTTTTTGAGATGATAGTATGCCGATTTACTGACTGCTTTGACATGACTGTTAAAACTCAGATCTGACTCAAGAGTCACACCAAGATTCTTGACCTTATTTTTTGTCGTTTGACCTTTAGTGCCAAGGTACGCATTTACCTTGAGAACCTCATCTTTGTTTCCAAACATTTCAGAGTCACTTGAGAGACAAAAACATTTTAACCTGACACTTTGTCTGCGTTTACACTGCCCTGTTCATGCAAAATAATCTTATCACAAATCGAAAAACAAGATTATTTTGCTTACCCCATTGACAGATTGTTTAGCTTGATTTAAGGAAAAAACTCACTTCATTTTGGCATATTATTTCTTAAAACAAGATAATATGTTTTGCTTGTCTAGAAATGCTTCTTGATTTAAGAAGTCGTAGATATTTGGACTAGAAACAATACAAATAATCTAAGAAAAGCTTTTTTTGCAGTGTCAGAGTTCCATTAGTGGTCGCCAAATTCAATAGTTTTATACAATTATCACAATGCTGGAGAGACTGTGGAGAAGTGGAGAAGTGGAGTTTTAGGACATATATATATATATATATATATATATATATATATATATATATATATATATATATATATATATATTTGAGAAAATGACTGCTAAGAGCTGAAATCATACTTTTTTCAACAGACCTGGGCATTAATCGAAACATATTTACTTGATATTTGAAAGGCTGTCAGGGGCTTTGTCTTTGTCGTAGTTATTGCCTTTATATTGGAATGTATTTATTTATTTATTTGTTTATCCCCCCCCCCCCCCCTCCTTATTTTTTATTTTTTATTTTATTTATTTTTCTTTAAGCTGTTTGTTATTATTATTTTTCTATTATTGTAATTTATATCTATTATTATTTTCTTTCTAATTGTTTCCTTTTTTGGTGACTGTAAACATTCTAAGTAAATGTTATTTGTGTACTATGTATATAAAAACTAATAAAAAAAAACTGTTTAAAAAAATAAATAAATAAAATAAAGCTCCATGTCAAGAGCACATTTTGTAGACTTCAGCCCCTGGTGAGCGTCACATTTGTCCTCCACTCACTTCTGCATTAAAACCCCACAAGTTCTATCAGTATTACCATAATATTATGTATGACATGCGTGAATCTCTTGGATGCAAATAGTCAGCAAAGTCTGTAAGCTTCTCATATCAAATCAAAATCATAATATTTCTGCTGCCAAACATCTCAGCGCAGTTTCTTCTGCAGTGCGCTTAAGATCGGGGATATAGATTTTTCGGAGCCATTTCTGACCTTGCCTCTAGATGTACAAAGCATTTTACAGTAGGTTTATTTAATAAAAGTCACAAACTAAACCTGAAAATGCAACCTGAAGGGTGTTTTGAAAAGCTCTTCACGTCTCCTACAGTAGCTTAGTTTCTCTTCATTTCAAACAGCTTGAAACCAATCCTAGCAGAACGTCCTACAGGGAAATTATTGTTAACGCTTTCGTTTCTTAAAGTAACATTTGAGTTTTAATTAATTAATTTAAATACATACAAAAGAAAAAAAAATTAGTTTTAGTCTCAGTTTTCTTAGTAGTTCACATTTATACTATTTTTAATTTTATTTTAGTTAGAATGTTTGTGCTTTTTAATGTTTATAAATTCCTACAAATATAATAAAATAGATTTTATAACTTTTAATCGAGATTTACATATTTTAACCTCGAATCAAACCTTCTTTTTGTAAAATAACATTGTTATTTTTATTTT